TTCCCCAATGCTCTTTTTGTAAATTTTGGTCCCCCAAAATGAACTGCATTTTCAGTGGGGTCTTACAAAATGTTTGACGGGGGTAATATATATCTTTTCTCTGGGTCTATACCTTTTTTTAAATACAAAAAGGGATTTTGCTGCTTTAGAAATGTAGCTTCATTGCGCCATTTAAGCTTGTGATTACCAGAACCCCCAATCCTTCTCCACCATTGTTTCCCCCATTTGTACCCCCCCTGTTTTTAAAGCATATTCTCGCCCCCAAGTGCAAACCTTACATTTATCAACATTAAACCTCTTTTGCACATAGTTCCCAAAAATTAAAAAAGTGTATTGAGACATGTGGTTGTTTGCAGGGCATGTTTTAAGCACGAACGTTTTAAAACCGTTAACAAGTCCGGGTTTTGTGTGTCCTTGGATCAATAAAAACCACTATATTATCAATCCCCTGTGTGCGGTGACCTTTTCTTTTGATAGCGGGGGCTACTGGGTGTAACTGTGGGGTGCTGTTGGGAAGGGGAAGGAGCTTTGAAAAATGTAATTAGAAGCGACTGGGGGTTCCAAGCTGTTTGAGGCTGGGTTTAAACAAATCTGCCCATGTCGTAGTACGGGAGGGGACAAAGCCAGTCAAAACCCCTGTCTGACCAAAGCTGCACTGCGTTATACAATCAACTAGCACATGGTAGTGAACATCTGAAAAAAGCTCCAAAGAAGCAATCTCTTAATCATCCTCCAACAACCATATCATTGATTCAATTAGATTTATACAGAATGGCAGAAAAAAAGTCATCCCTGCTTTTGGCAGGGGTACTGACAAGAGCCAATTCAGCACACAAGCCTGAATCAATTGCTTGCACCTCAGCAAATTCACCCTGTCCGCTGATTCAACTAGAGTAAAGAAGCAACCACGCATGCACTCTAGGCCAGCTGATTCCCCAGGCCCACGCCATCAGAATCTGAGTAGCCATATTCTTTTGTTCACATGTGTAATCTAGCCAAGACAAGTACACAACCTCCTCATGATGCGATCCTTCACAAACAGTGCAAGCCAAGATGGCTCTCCCTGAGCAGCCACTTTCTGCGTCAGGACCAGGGGCGGACTGACAGCTCATAGGGCCCCTCGGTGGACAATATGGGGATCATGGGGGCCCCTGTGTCCCTTTGCACCACAACACTTCAAAAAAGCCTATAAAAAAGGTACCAGGGGCATTTCATGGGGGCCCCATACTGACCCCTGGGCCCACCGGGCAGTGCCCGAAGTGCTTTCGAATGGTCAGTCCGCCGCCTTGTCAGGACTAGTCTTGGAGTTATGTCAGTAAACCGGATATGGACCAGAGATGCATTGGGACTGGACACACGGAATAAGGCAGGGCTTGCAGGAGCTGCATGTTTAATATATAATTAATCTGTGAGACACACCAAATAAGCAAAAAGCACCATGTCAAGTAAAAACCAACTAATCACAAGACCTTCATCCATTATATTATTATATATAATTATTGTTTTACAGAGAATACACAGCAGTTGTCAAGGGCTAGCCGGGGTCATACACAGGGAGAGGTAGAATAGGTCAGGCAGGCACGTGGTTCAGGATCAATTGGGCGCGATCAGGTATAAAAGAGGAGTTAGACAAGCAGATAGTCAAAGGGAGAGCCCCCCCCGGGTCGATGCAGACGGAGTTCAATCATAGTCCAGAGTCCAAGCAGGTAGGTAACAGGTAAACACAGGCTCATGGGAAACAAACACCAAGGACAATGATTGCTGCTTAACCACCTTCGCCCGCCCTATAGTACATTGACAGGAGCGCAAGGTGGGTTCTCTCGTTCTGATAGGACGTCATATGACGTCCTACATTTCTCACTGCGCATGTGCGGCTCAGGGGAGCGTACAGCGCGGCGATCGTCGGTACCGCTGTGATCCCCTCTCGGACACAGCGGATTCACAGAAAGAGCGAAGATGTCGGCTCGGTCATGTGATCAGCTGTGTCCAATCACACAGCTGATCACATGTAAACACGGATAAAGTCGGTTATCGGCATTTTATCCTCCTCATGCGAGCTGTCTACGCTGACAGCTCGAGAGGAGAGGAGAAGCCGGTAATCGGCTTTCCGCGGAGGGGGACATGTACACTGATCATCAGGGCACTGATGATCAGTGTGCCTGATGATCATGTGTGGCCCCAGAAGCGCCACCCTGTCAGTGCTCGCATCAGTGCCACTGCCATCAGTGCCACACGAATGCCACATATCAGTGCATACCAGTGCACATCAATGCCACATATCAGTGCCCATCTGAGCTGCCTTTTCAAATGTCACGCCATCAGTGCCAGTCAGTTGCCCACCCTATCAAATGCCAATCATTGCCATCTATCAGTGCTGCCAAATCATGTGTCGCCTATCAGTGCCATGCTCAGTGTCCGCTATCAGTGCCAGTCAGTGCGCGCCTATCAGTGCAATTTAATCAGTGTATGGGATTCAGTGCTGCCTTTCAGTGCCCATCAGTGATGCCTTGTCAATGCCCATCAGTGGGCAACCTACCAGTGCCTCCTCATCAAGTGCTCCATCAGTGCCACCTATCAGTGTCCATCAGTGCAGCCTATCAGTGCCCATTCACTACAGCCTCATTATTGCACATCAGTGAAGGAGAAAAATCATTATTTAAAAAATTGTATAACAAAAACTAAGAAACAAAAATTTTTTTTTTTCAAAATTTTCATGTGGTTTTTGGTTTGTTTAAGAAAAAATAAAAATCCCAGAGGTGATTAAATACACCAAATGAAAGCTTATATGTCTCAAAAAAATGATAAAAATTTCATCTGTGGTACAATGTTGGGCATGACACGCCGACCAATTGTATTCGACAAGTGTGACAGCGCTGAAAGCTGGAAATTGGCCTGGGCAGGAAGGGGGTATAAGTGCCTCTGTAGGCTAGTGGTTAAATACACTCCTGCAATCAACCTAGGTGATGGCTTGATTGCAGGAGGGTGAGTGATCCTGGCTGGCTCTGAAAGGCACTAGGCTGGTAAGTACCACTGTGGTACTGCAGCCCATAGAGCATGGTGAACCACAGCACACCAGCAGTTGAGCCCTTTCCTGACAATCTGAGGTCCGCTTGTAAATTGATAGAAATCTCCTGCTAAGGACGTTAGTTCCACTGCACAGCTTTGGTGTCGATCTGCAAAGACTGAAATGGGAATTTTTGTAATCTCAGACCACCTATATCGTTTATAAATATATTAAAAAAGTAAGGGTCCCTGAACACTGACCTGGGGATACAACATGCTGACCACCAGACCATTCCAGAGTATGAATCATTAACCACTACGTCTCTTGAATGTGATCTTTTAGCCAGTTTTTCTATCCATTTTACATTCGGATTTTTCCAAGCCGCGTAGACTTTACGGCTTACACATTAGCATGTGTAGGTAACCGTGTCACATGCTTTTGCTCCAAAATCCAAGTATACCATGTCCACCGCCACACCCTCTGTTCAAGGTTTTGACTCACCCTCTCATAAAAAGAAATCAGGATTTGTTTGACAACTTCTGTCTTTCATGAGATCCATGCTGTCTGTTGCTTAAAATATTTTTTTCCAGAAATAATCATCTATGTGGTCTTTTATTAAACTCTCCAGTATTTTTCCCAACTATAGAAGGTAAACTAACAAGTCTATAATTACTTGGTAAAGATTTTGACCCCTTTTTAAAAAATATTGGCACCAAATTGGCCTTACGCCAATCCAGTGGGGCACTATGCCAGTCATTAGAAGTCCCTAAAAATTAGAAACAATGGCTTTGAAATGACAGCTCAATTCTTTAACCACTTCCAGACCGGACACTTTTACCCCTTCCTGACCAGGGCAATTTTCAGCTTTCAGCGCTATCACACTTTGAATGACAATTGTGCAGTCATGCAACACTGTACCCAAATTAATTTTTTACCATTTTTTTGAGACAGATAAAGCTTTATTTTGGTGGTATTTATTCACTGCTGGGATTTTTATTTTTTTTGCTATTTAAATGAAAAATCCAAAAATTTTGAACAAAAGTGTTTTTTTTATAAAAATTTTGCAAATAAAATAATATTTCATCATAAATCTTTGCCAAAATGTATTCTGTTATCTTTTTAGTAAAAAAAACAAAAACAAATTAGTTTATAACCAAAAATTATAATTTTTAAACATTTTTTTTTTACATTTTTATTTTTTTTTTTATATTATTTTTTTTTTTTTTTTTTTTACATACTGTCACCCTAGCAGTACAGTGTCACCATGTTGACACTGTACTACTTGTGGGGGGGGTGATGAAGATTTTTTTTTTTTTTTTTTACAATGATTGCTTTTTACACCCATATAGGATGTAAAAGCAATCATTTCTCCTTCTCTCTGGCTGCATTCCTGCACTCATTGAGAAGTACTGAGTGAGCTGTGATTGGTCACAGCTTGTCACATGGTACAAGGCTGTTGTGAATAGCCTTGTACCATGTGACCTCTGTGATCATTCAGAGATTTCACACGTAGTAAGCAATGATGTCACAAGTGACATCTTGCTTACTACTTTGCATGTGATCACTGATTGGCCAATCAGTGATCACATGATCGGGACCTCGCACAGAGATCCCGTCCGACAATCGGTGTTTTTCACTGTGTCCGGAGGACACAGCGGGCACCGGATCGCGGTGCTGCGCGCTCCCAGGGAGCGGCGCACAAGCAGGGTGCGGGGAGGCCGTTCATAAACGGCCACCCGACCCTGTACTGCCACCGTCCGTTCAGGCCGTTTATATGCAACGGCCGGTCGGGAAGTGGTTAAGGACCCGTGGGTGTATGCCATCCGGTCCAGGTGCTTTATTCACCTTTATACTGTCTAGTTATTTTTGTATCATATCAATTGTGAGCCAATGTGGATCATCTGGAGCTGTGTCAATACCATGCCCATTATGGACAAGAGCTCCCCCATGCTCCTTTGTATACACAGAGCTGAAGAAGGTATAAATAAATGTGCCTTCTCTTTGTCCCCAGTCATCCACTCTAGATTATTTTGTAAAGGGCCTACATACTCGGACCAAACCTTTTTACTATTAATATATTTGAAGAATTTTTTGGGGTTGGTCCTGCTATCTTTTGCAATTTGTCGTTCATTTTTTAATTTTTGCAGCCTTTATTTCCTTTTTGCATATTCTGTTATATTCTTTGTAATGTTTAAACAATGATAGTGTTCCTTCATTTTTATAGTGAATAAAAGCTCTTTTCTTATTATCTATAGCCTTTTTAACTTTGGCCATAAGCTACATAGATTTGATTTTTAGCCTTTTAAACTTGTTGCCCATGGGAATAAATTTTGCAGTGTGTTCACATACAGTCTCCTTGAAGAACTCCCATTTCTGTGTTGTGTTCATCAATGCCAATATTCCCTCCCAGTCTAAGTCTTGGAGAGCAGCTCTCAGCCTTGGAAAATTAGCTGTCTTGAAATTGAGCATTTTTATTTTTCCCGTATGTGCTTGCTGTTTACAGCTAACAATAAATGAAATCATGTAATGGTCAGTGCTACCCAGATGTTCTTTTATATGGACATTCGTATTAAGCTCTGCATGATTTGAGTTTACCAGGTCCAGCAGAGCATCATTCCTAGTAGGGGCCTCTATGAACTGTACCATAAAATTGTCCTGTAGTAGGTTTAAAAAAATTTTTGCCCTTTAACTGTTCCTGCAATACCATTACTCCAGTAAATTTCCAGGTAGTTAAAATCCCCCATTATTATCACTGTCCCAGCCCTTGCAGCCCTTTTGATCTGTGCAAGGAGCTGAGTTTTCCACCTCATCATTAACACTGGGAGGCTTATAACAAACTCCAATGATTACCTTTGTAGTACGCACCCCCATGTGTAGTTCCACCCATAATACTTCAGCCTTATCACACTCTTAATCAACTAGGTCCTCTTTCACACTTGCTCTGAGATCACTTAGAGACAGACACCACCACCTTTCCTATTTACTCTGTCTCTCTGAAAGACAACATAGCCAGGAATATTAATGGCTCAGTCATGTGAAGAATGAAGCCAAGATTCAGCAATACCAATTAAATCATAGTTCTCTTCATGCAACAAAGCTTCCAACTCACCTATTTTGCTTGGCAGACTTCTGGCATTGGTGAACAAACACTTTGATGGACACCTTGTTCACAGTTTCCTTCTTCATCATGGATTGGCTGGATACATGCTGTCAAGATGACTATCTTGCGAAGATCCTGTACTTTTTGCACACTCTCCCTATTCAGGTCCCTGCATTTTTTCTTTGTCTATTGCATTTTCCGTTTTATTTGTGCTCATAAGCGTCCCAGAGTGCCTAGATCCACTCTGTATACTCATAGACTACAGGGAAGTTTGGGAGTCCCACATGTTTCTAGATACCATTTGGCGACTCATATTTCCCAGTTGTCCATGCTTCATGCCACAACAGATATCCCGTTATGGGTACTCTTGGAATTACCCAACTGTGCTCCGCTTTCCTTAACTACATTGCTTTGGCTTCCGCCTAAGTTGCGCCCTCCGGACCTGAGCCCTATCATGCTTTACAGTTTATGAACCTGGGATTCTGTTAAAAATTTGGGTAATTTTGATATAATCTTTTCTACCTCTTTTGCTGATTACGCATAATCCTTTTTTTCCACCAGGCTTAGAACATCCCCCTTCTTTCTCTTGGTGGATCTCCCATGGCTTTGTTATTGTACATGATTTTCTGAACGCTCGTTCGTTTCCATCATGGGAGTCTCTTCGAGAATCACAGGGGGTCCCGCAGCAAGAATATTATCATTATTTGCAATTGCACCACTGGGTTCTGTCCCTCCGTAGTACCTCTACATATCCTTACCGCAAAACGCCCTTTGAACATGTCTTCCAACATTCCAAAGGGTCCCCTGGTCTCATTTCTGTAATTTATGCCTCTCTTAACAGTAGGTCCTCCTTACCACCCGTTTTATGTCTCTCAATGGGAGCAAGATCTAGGTTTCTCGATTGCGGCAGAGGATTGGCATAAGGCCTGGAGGATGGTGGTGAAATTTTCCTCCAATACCGTTATTCTTGAGGCAGCCTACAAAGTTCTGCGGTGGTACTGGGTCCCCGCTCAGACTGCTCACTTTAATCCGACTGGCGGAGATAGGTGTTTCCGGAATTGTGGTCTATGTGGGGACGTCTTGCACATCTGGTGGTCATGCCCGTGATTGATAAGCTTCTGGTCTAGAGTTTTTGGTTTGCTGCAAACATTATTTCATATTACAGTCTGTAAGGATGCAAGAGTGGCCCTCCTGCATTGCCCAATTTTGGGTCTGTCTAGGTCTCAGCAGAAACTGGCATCCTACCTATTCATTTCGGCCAAACGTGCTATAGCTCAAACTTGGAGAACCCCTTCGGTTGACTTCCAGGGGGTGAAGACCCGGATGAATGCTATGCTGATCAATGAACAGATGTCTAGCATTCTTCAAGATTCTCATCCGAGATTCCTTAAGGTTTGGGAACCTTGGATACATTATTCCCTGCTGTCCCTGTCTCCTACTAGCTATGGCCTCTTATAGTTGTTTGCCTGTGCTGGCCCTAGATCTGTGACTCTTCTAGTCTTCCTTTCTTCTATGTTCTCTCCCTGAATCTTTCTCCATTCATTATTTCTTTCCATGTTCTTATAC